GAGTGTGTTTGACATTTAAATAAGATTTGTGGCACTTTGTGGAAAGTTTCTACAGTTTGTGTCAAACAGCAGCAAAAGTTGATCACACAGCTTTTTTTGACACTCGGTCGTGTGTCTTGGCGGGCTGTCACCAAGTACAAACACACCCATGCAAATGCCTGCACACGTGCACACACCGACTGGCAGTTCACATGGCCCGACTGCTCCTACTGAGACAGGAAACAGTTGTAACAGAGGAAGAGCCACTTCCTCATCAGTTGCCCAAAACAACAACCAGTGGCTCCAATTATAGACACAAAAACTGCACAAGAAAAAAAAAAAGTAACAACAACAATAATAATAATATGACTAGGTATAATAATGTATTACAGCATAACATTCACTTTAATGGAAGAATGAGGGTCAGCGGTTAATGATGCCCTCGACCTACGGTGCGTTGTGGTTATGTCGCTATCTCCCATAAATTTACTAAGAAAGTCTTCTTCCATCATTCCAATGTACAGTGAGTGGAGCGGACAAATATGATGCCAAGCGGCGCCATATGCGGACGACAGCTTTGTTTACATTTGCTGGTTGTATGCCATTCATTCTGGGAGCGTTTTGCCCTTCACCGCGGCTACCAGGTGCAAGTCAGATTCTTCTGATGTTTTTATGTCCTAGATTACGATGTCCCCACTGTGTTAGTGTAGGTGAGTGACATAGGTACTCATGTGCAGTATGCAAGTTCTGGCGTAAATCAAGTTACGTCACACTGAGATGGAACTGTCTCGGGAGCTGACAGTCTTCTGTAAGAGGCTGAGGGTCTCGATCTCAACTCTTGTCTGTGCAAAACATCAGCATAACGTAATAAAAATGGAGCAGCTATTTAAATCAGAATAAAGACAAGTCCATCATAGAATGTTTGTATGTGTGGCTGACATTAGAATCATTACTGGTAACTACTGTAACAAGTATCATCTGAGTGGTAAAGGCATTTATCTAAGTAGTAATAAACCATAATGCAGTCCTAACACAAAATCCATACATCAATGAATCCATTATCAGTTAATTCCACAGAGGGCTTATGTTTTCACGATGCATCAATATAAGTGATTTGAAAGAGTTTTCTAATCTTTCGATCAAAGTGTGATTCTGGATTTGTTCTCTTTTGCATATGTTTGTATCTGTAATGAAAAGTTTACATTAGAACTAATGTCAAGTGTTGTTGCTCACAGCAAACTTCAAACCTCTGGACAACAGCTGATCCCACCGACCCACTGCTTCCACTCAATATCATGTAACACTCATCACTACCAAATGGTAGAAAAAAACCCAGAGCTATTAGAGTAAAGGCACACTGATACGCACGCCTACACACAGGACCAGAGGTTTCCGATATACGGGGCCTCAGTGGACCACTAGCCGCAAATTACATTAGGAGCTTGGAGCCTGTGTTTATTTGCTTACATATCTAGAACTTTTTGAAGAGAGAAACATTTTACTTATCAAAGTATAACTACTTGAAAGCTGACTCTCTTTCGTGCTAGTGTCAAAAGTATATTGTGCAAATAAATGACAGGAGAATACATTTTGGAAACATTTTTTGTACTAAACAGTTCTCCTTGTTTGGAAAAACAATTACCTTTGTGGTGTTCATTTTAATAAAATAAATACACATCATGTTTAAATTAAATGGTAAAGATGCTGAATTTAACTTTTTGCAGAAACCTGGTGAAGCTGCTTGCACCAAATAACCACTCTATTGCTGCTTCCTGTTGTTCAGTGATTGTGTGTAGGTGTAGCTGATGGGCTGTTTTCCATTCCACTGTCATTGCACATGACTGCCCATGGATGGATAAAATGAATGGGCATCAGGGACCATAAATAACCAGAAAAACAAGTCATTTTTGAAGATTTATTTAAAGGTTCACAGAGAGCAGTAAGGTTGATTAGTTCTTAAAGGGCATAACAACATATTTACTGTATGTTCCAAGGTGGAGATTAGATTTTTGTGTTGTGTTTCTTAACTATAGTCTTAACTGTTCATTATGCATGTTGATTAATTTGCAGTTGTTTGAAGTTGTTCGTACATTTGTCCTAATGTGATTTAAATGTTAATTACCGTGAAGCAGAAAGTAGTCCACTGGTGTTTTCTTCAGACCCGCCTTGGCTTTCTCACTTGTCCAGTCGACCTCCAGAGCGTCCTTCAATGAGCAGAAAGTCGACGTCTAATTGAGGAGAGAGGTATAAAAACAAAACAAAGTGTGAGTGAAATGTGACAAAAAAAAATTTTATGGGGGAATTTATTTTCCCAATATTTCATGGATACACGTAAAATAAATTGCACAATTCTCGCGTAGAATTTCCAGGTGAATCTCTTTGTCCTGTGAAAAGGTCCACTGTGTAACAAAGACGAATACTGTTGGAAATTTTCTCTACATCACAAGCACAAAGGAGAACGTCAGATAACATACAGATAACTTAAAAGACAAGGAATGTTCTTTATCTGCTGTAGGCTATTATAACAACTATGAACCAGCCTTTGTAGAGAACCCCTGCTCCGTATATCAAAAATAAGCATCTCCTTTCCTGGGGGTCATAAATAAACAACTTAAACAGGCTGGGTCTGAAGTCATTAACACAACATAAAGTGCCATTTCACTACGATCATATTACAAAGCTGATATTTCCCCTGGAAATAGGTAAAACTGTCTGCTTTCTGCTGCCACAGGCAGGACACTATGTCTGGGTTCAGCAAAGATAAATTGCCATTACTTCATCTGCCTACCTTTTTAACCATGGTGGTCTCATTGGGGTCAACTTTGGCTTTCTTTGCCTCTGGACCGTCACCTGAGTCACTGGTTGGTTTCACTAGTTTAGGTTTCTCCCTTTAAAAAAATGACAAGAGTAACAAATCAATATTCCAATATTTTCGTTTCAGACTCACACACCTTTAATAGGCAAAAGTTCAAGTAAGACAGTTGTCTCTTAGGTGAAATGCTGATGACATGATCTTACTCTACGTAGTTGTGCTCCTTTCCAAGGTTGCAGAACATGTAACCGTAGTAACCATACACATCTCCACAGAAGACCTTGATGTTGTGCTGAGAACAAAGCTGGTCGACCCGCAGCATCAGGTCTCTGGAGCAGCCTGTCAGACAAACCTGAGGGGAAAAAAACACAATGGGGAAAGTTAAATTTTTGTTTTGAGATATTTGATTTTAATGCCTTCAAGCAGAGTTTTGGTAAAGAAAAAATAAAGCCACGATAGACACAAATCTTTGTTCCAGGAATGTCTATAACATTATCTTTTATCACAAATTTTAATAATTTATAACAATATTTATAATTAAAAAGGGAATCTTAGTGACATTTAACAGAGCCAAATTAAAAAAAAATCAGAATATATGCAGATGTTGGTGAACATTTTGCTCTCACAAAGACAATTGATGTTTGTGAACATTTTGCTCTCACAAAGACAATGTTTGCACTTCTCATACCCTGCTGCCCCTCTTATGTCTCTAAATAAATAAATAAATATATAAAGTGAACTCCCACCATGTTGAACGGTTTGTTTCTTCCACAAGACTGCCTTAATGTTTTTCTGACATTTTCCACTCATTTACATTCTCATTACCATAACAACGAACCACTTACAAAAGCAGAAAATATCAAATTACACTGTTGTGTCGTCTGCCATTAAATCCCAGAGGATAACAAAACAATTTTTACATCTGAAAACTGAATAGAGTTGTTTTTCATTAGAAATTTTGAGGGTGCTCAAAGTGGGAAGCAACAAAAAAAAGGTGAGTGTCGAGTGTTTTGTCGACAGAAGAGGTAGACAAGGGGGGAGAAAACACAGTAACGATGTACCACTAGAAAACTTTGAGTCTGCTGACCCAGGGTTCATCTCATTCACCTAACTCAGCCAAAACCAAAAAGTCTGAACAAACTTATAGTCCATCACTGAGCTGTGGATGGAGATCACAGACATGATGCCATAAGGTCATATAAGGCCATATCAATAATTCAAATGCGAAACCGTGTTATATCAGGAGACAAACCATCTTTGTGGCTGTATAGAGAGAAATCTGACTACATGCTTTCACTATAAGACGACAACCCCCCACACCCCCAGAAATTCCACATTTGTTGTGATGTAAAGAGGCAGAGAGAAAGGCTGCATCAGCAGGGAGTCCACTTCACTCCGCAGAAATGCCAGAAGAACCTTGTGTTTCTCTATGGCATTCATACCTCAGTAATTAGGCCACTTTGCGAAAATTGTACAAAAAATCTCTAATCTCTCTAGATTTTCCTGCTAAGACAAACTTCCATGGAAGCCGATAGAGGAGAGTCATCTTTTCATGCCTTTAAAATGATCACATTTTCTCAGACGGCCTTGTCTTCTTTTGCTTTGTCCTCTGTCTCATCCCGTCCTCAATTCACACTGTCTTTATATAGTCTACCTCTCCCACCCAGCTCCCCTCCCCCTCCTATCGACCCACACTTGGCTCCCCCAGAGGGAGAAAAACGGTAGACAGTTCAGACAAAACAAGAGTGAGAAAAGCTGTCATTCTTTTCATCGTGTTTGAAAACTGTCTTCCCCTCAGAGGTAATGAAACTCAGATTGAATCTGTTGGACTACCTGCTGTAACAAAAAGAAGAGGACTAAACATGATAAACTTTGTAAATCTATTAGAATTTTTATGAAAATCAAGATGACCATTATTATTTTCTGTCATCACTGTATTGGCCTCTGCTTTCAACAGTTTTATTTAAATCACAGCTATTTATATTTGTTTTAATCATTTGTCAATCAAAAGGTAAAGTAAACAAATATTTGTAACAAGAAACAAATATCACCATTTCCTAAAAGGTTAACTTTTAACACAGAAAGGCACAGTGAAGAAATTGAGACACGTCCAGAGGAAACTAGGTAACTATTTAAGAAGGCAAACACACAACAGTCACACTAAATCCACATCGTTTAAAACTGATACTATATTTCCAATATTAATACATAAGTACTACTGCTTTAATTGGTATTCTCGTACACTCAACTCTGTGATTCGGGGTTATCCACTATTTTAACATAATCTTGGTGAAAATAGTGAAAGTGAATTATTTGTCACTGTGACAGAGCAAACCACTGTAAACACAACAAAATGTGACCTCTGCTTTTAACCCATCACCAAAGTGAGCAGGGTGCAACTGGTGAAAACTGAATTTCCACTTACAGTATCAAATTGCAGGAAGAAGTCATCTGGTTTGTCCTCAACTCTATTCGTGTCAGCATGAACTTCCACCATAGGGTTAAGGTTCTGTGCTCGCTCCAGGGAGGCCTGGGCACGATTCTGACCCTGAGCTGTCACAGGAACGAGAAACTGAGCTCGGCATGACTCCTCTGACACCTAGTGGACAGAAAAATACTGAAGTTACTTCTAAATGCCTTAAATTTACTAATGATGGGATATGTTAAATTAAACTCCCACGAATTTGGGAGGGCAACCACGAGTCTTGTATGGTTCACACCTGTTCATGATCCAGCAAAGTCAGTGCTTTCACTCCAGCCAGAATAAGATTTTTGGCTACTTCGGCACCAAGGCCACCCAAGCCTACAAGGAGGACACGAGACCCGCGCAACCTGTAAATTAAAAATAAACTTTATACAGCAACATCAGTATATTGTCTGCGACAATTACACAAGCTACATTATTAAACCCCAATTATAAATATATATAATCAAATCGAAAGAACAAAACAATATGACTACAACCAAATTTGGTGCCTAAAGAAATTAAAAAAAGAGCAGCAGAATATTTTTTCCCACAGGAAATGGTGCAGTGATGCAAACATACGTTCGTCTTCACGTTAAGACAGCTACCCAGAACCACGGTGTTTTTAATAAAGGTTGTGTATTCACTATGCACAGTTATAGTGCACCAATCCCTTCGCTGCATTGATTAGCCTGCAAAGCTAACCCACCTTTTCTGTGCATCCAGACCCCAGAGCCGGATCTGGCGGTCGTATTGGGCCGCCTCCTCCTCGCTGATGACCGCGTCCTCCTTCTCAATCATATCAATCATTTCAATTCCCTACAGATACAGACTTTTCGGATAAAAGTTGATCGTTTTGTAAAGCCACATATGTAGCTATTTGAACTACCGCGACAGTCCCGCTGAATGGGCGCTAGATGATGACGTCATCAAAGAGCAACAAAGGCACGCCTAATATCCTTAATTGATTAGTTTCGAATTTTCTTTAAAGTCATATTTTTCGCTAAGGACTTCCCCATACCAAATGTATAATTTGGGGCTTGGTATAAAAGCAGTTATGAACATTTCAGGTTAGTTGTGGGCCTTTTAGAAGTGGTCACTTGGCTAAAAACAGCAAACCGAATAATGTATCTACGAAATCAACAATATGATTAAATTCGAGGCACGCAATTGACTTTTTCATCTTTTTCCGCCCATTTAGAGCTCCCGGACAAAGACTTGGAACCAAGAGGCACCTGCGAAGTCAAGAGCGGGGGCTGTTTTTCCCCCATTGTCTTTCCCATTCGGTAATCTCCGTAAGCTGTACAGTGGCGCTCATTCGCTCCGATGTTTCTGTCGGCAAAGTCCGCCTCCTTTCTCCTCGGAGAAGACAGTCAGCCATTTTAAGTTCACCAGTCGTCATTTCACATCGCTACAGTAGGACGGAGAACGTCAGGACTCAATTTCATCAAATTTCTATTACAACTGTGGTGGATAATTGCCTACTATGAACTGAGCCTCTTCATAAAATCAAATTCAGTAGATCCTAGTGAACTGACGCACAAGCCAGTAGATTCAGCGTCGAGTAGTAATTTTTTGCACCTCAATGTAGCTAAGAGGAAATGGCTGTGGAAAGCATGACTGTCCATCCAAACTCCCCAACTACCAACCACGAACACAACAGTCTCCTGACTGACGAAAGGTCGAGTAATTTTACAATCATATTTAAATGAAATTATTTGTCCTGTGCTTTTACACAAAACGACCGGGGTTCTTTTTTTAAATTTTTTTTTCTGTCAAAGGGATTAAATTCGCCTTTCTGGAAAACGAGTACAGAGGTAACGAACGCCATTTTGACACGACAACGCCAACTGGGAAACAAAAAACATCAACCTGGATAGATAATGTACTTCCCTAAAATTAATTTTGATACCACAGTCGACTTAAGCAAATTTGTCTGATGGAAACCATTATCGAAAGAAACCAAATTATACCTTTTTCCAAAATTTTCGCCAGCTTTGTCATATAGTTCCGTTTAAATGTTGTCCAATTTTAAAACTCGTCGTCAACTTAACGCTCCGTCATTTATATGTGTGGACACATTATTCGCTTGCGCAGGTGAAATAAATCCAGACAATTGCTTTTTTTCCAATTTGGGCCTTATCCAGAGTCACATAGCTGCATTAGCCTGTTAGCTCGTTTTGCTGACAAACGCAGCTGGTAAGGAGAAAGCTAAGCTAAGCTAATGGCTTTGATGTTCGAAAAAGTCAGCTTTGATGAAATTAATGTACCGTCTAAATTCTAACAATTTTTTAGTAGATTGGAATCTGCAACCTGGCGATTTAAACTCAGTGTATTTGAAAACGGTGTTATAACATTTACGCAGTAAAATGTGCACTTGGGTCGACTTTTGAGTTGGACATTATTGGACTTTAATCTTTCGATATAGTTTCAACTAAAGTTGAACTAAAAACTAGAGTTGTATGTTGAGAAAAATTCGTCCAAGTAACAATCTGCTCTTGAAGCCTTTTAAATTACAAAATAATAACAAAAATTCCGACCTGTTTATTGGTCATGTTTATTTGTCTTAACGTATCGTTTTAATTTTCAGACCCAGTGATCACCCTGAATTGTGCCAAAACACCCACAAAGTCCTCCAAATGTGTAAAACGTCTGCAAAGCATTCCTGAAGTCTTTCACGTCCAACACAAAGGTCCCCTTTCAGTCCCCGGTTGGCAAATTTGCTGTATGTAGCCCAGTTGACCCTAATTCAAGCCCCCCCCCAAAAACCATTGCCCCTTAAATTTACGGTTAGATTTTTTTGTTGATGTTTTGAGTGCGGAGAAAACCATTCACAGTAAGTATTCACAATTTTAATAATGGCCAGCTGCTGTTAAACTTAACTTTTCAGTTTGTCATCTTGGATATCAATGTCGTATCATGCATGATAATTTGACTGATGCAGACAACTAGATGTGAGAATTCATACAATCACATATTTTTTAGTTTTGTTAGTATGATGTGCTTAGTGATTTCCTTGTTGTGTTGTGGTGTGATGGACAAAAATCTTTTCCGCAGAGATGCACAAGCAAATCGATCTTGACCAGTCATTATTTCACTAGCTCATTGTAATTGGCCAAAAAATAGATTAGATATAGGTTTCCAGTGTTATTGGCTGACTTAAATGGAGAATATGTTGACCTAGAAGTTTAGAAAAATTGCTAGTCGGTTTTTGCAAAGGAGACCAAAGTGTCTTTGTATTATATTTACAAGGTAACTTTAGCAAAACAAACTAATTTTTTTCCTGGATTTGTATGACTAAACATTTGCCTTAAGCAGGTAATGATTGACTTAACTACTTAAAACCAAACTAGTTGTTTATGTGGTTTGCTTTTCTGTGGTGTTGATGAATGCATGATCCTGCTTTTTACTGGTTAGAAACTTATCAAGAATTTGTTTTTGTACTAGTTTAAAAGTTTAGACCCTGCATCTCTTTCTGTTGTGGATGAGAGGTACTTTCAAATCAGATTTATGTTAAATGTTGTATATTTATATATATATTTATATATGTTGTCAGGCCTGTTTATTGTCATTTCAGTTTTACAGAGCTCTGTAGAATTGTCTTACAGTAGAATTTCTGTTTAACTTGGCATTCTGTTAGCGGATAAAGTGTTGAGTATGATGGTAGGCCAGAGTTTCACTCACTCTTTACTGTTATATTTAAACCACCTATGATTTCCACAACTTTTGTATTTATGTTGTGATAGTCAGGTGAAGACTTCCCTTGAGCTGTACTAATCAAAAGCTGTTTTTTTTAGAATCAAATGAGTGAAATTACATGGCTAGTAGTAGATTTGGACTGCATTTCTGTAGGAAAAAATACAAGTTGAGAAGAAGTTTAGAGTTGCTGGTGGGTCTAGTGTTCACATTATCACACTCAATAAATTGACAACTTATTTTAAATTATCAAGAAATTGCATTACATCTTGAATAAGCAAATTTTAGATTATACGAAAACAATGGGAATCTGTATTTAAGGGGTCTTTAATTTTATTGTAGGTTATAATATTTGCGAAATGTAGACGTTTATGCTTAAAGAATGAACATATTTAAATTCTATCTTCACTCTTCCACAGCTCTTATTACTAACTACTTTAGAATAGCCTTGATGTTTATATTTTTTTATCATGTTTACATATTACAAACAAGCCAGTTATATTGAAGACCATTTGGGTTGACTTATTTGGTTGGTGCAGCGATGATAGTTCCAAATTAAAGCTATTGAGTTGAGGCAGTTTTCTGTTTAATTAGTGTCAGACAGGTGGATGTGGGTGATTGATTATCTGCTTTTTTTGAATAAAGATGGTTTTGGTTTTTTTAGGGTTCGCTAGGCTTTAAGTTTCTAAGCATATATGTATTGCACACCACTTGCTATGTCTTAGGTTTTGCTCTGTCAAGTATAATACTCATTTTGTTTGTGTGTGTGTGACAAAAAGCAAAGCCTTTTAGTACCTCAATACCAGCAACACTTTTTGAAGCCCCAATGCTGTAGGAAAAGAGAGCCATGTGATCCTCATCAAATTAGATCTCATTTTCTCTTTAAATTTGCTGAATGTGAGGATTCTTTGTCTGTTGACCACTGTGTCAGAAATTTTGAAGTCTTCTGTCTCTATCTTTCTCACACACTTAAGTCCAACTGCAGTCGAGGCCTATGTGTGTAGCTGCCCATTTTTGAGCCACTGCAGTGACTAGCACTTTCTTTCTATTAGCCATGGGCGTGCTATGTTGAGATGGTAACACATTGATATGGTATTTAGAAAAATAATTTTGACAGGCAGTTTTAACAGGTGTTGTTCCAAAGCAACTGCTAGCTTTTCAGAAAAAATAATTTCTGTGCCTTGAATGCCCAGTTTATCTATAAATAATAACTTCTGGCACACAGTTGTTTTTGGCCATATGTGTACACAGAGTGCAATATAGTGCCCTATAGTTTGAAATAAGAAATTTGAATAACTGCAACCTGTCAATAATACTTAAGTGACCTATAGTGTTGATGTATTGCTTAATGCACCGTGAGAAAAGATGTTTTCTGGATTTACTACACCCTTTATTTACAATTGCCAAAATTGTGATAGTCTTACCCGGTTACCTTTTTAGCAATTAAATCTCTTTCTTTACCATCTGTACTTGTTTTCTGATCCATTAGTGACACCGAAAAATTAGATATACTTCAAATTGGCTTATTATTTATATAGTTATATAACATTACTTCTTATTAAGTAATGTCACTGACTAAATATGAATCTCCAGAAATGTCGGGGCCACAGGCAATATGAATCAATGATGTTTAAATTTTTATATTCTTATTTTCTTTATCTAGGCCAGAGGATGGAGAGCTGGAAGAAGGTGAGCTGGAAGATGATGGAGGAGAAATGGAGACAGAGGATGTTCCTCCGACAGCAGGAGGTGCCAGAGAAGGGGGTGATGAAGCAGGTGGAGGAGGTGAGGCAGACGGGGAAGCAGCTGGGGAGAGGCCTCAGAGAAGTCGGGAGCGCCATGCCAGCAGTGATTCTGATGACGAAAGATCCCATCGTAGGAAAAGGAAAAGGAAGAGAGAAAGGGAAAAGAGGAGGGCAAAGAAAAAACGCAAATCCAAACACAAAGTAAGAAAATAAATCTTTAAAATCCCTGAGTAAAATTAGTGGTGATAACAACAGTCATTGTATTTTTCTTTAACTTTTTTATGTGTTTGCTTTTCATTTTCAGCGTCATGCATCTTCTGATGACGATCATTCGGACTTCAGTGAAGACTCTGACTACAGTCCGAGTGAGAAGAGGAAATACAGAGAGTACAGTCCGCAGTATGCACCAGTAAGGCCCTTGAATTATATTAAAATCTATATTAAAAGAATCACCTGTATAACAACAAACATTTCACTTACATCAAAAGTAAAACTGCTGAATATACTTTATTTTTACTAGTCCCATGGAGGCTACAGTGGCTCAAAGAAGGGCAGCTACATGAAGATGGACAAGCAGAGCTATGGAGGCTACGATGACTTTGAAGATGACAACTATGAAGGTGAGGAAGATGAAGACATGGGGGAGGAAGACTATGATGACTTTACTAAGGAGCTCAACCAGTATCGCAAGGCCAAGGAGGGAGGCCGTGGTGGAAGAGGTACATCTGCCAAAGTCTGGTTTAAACTATTGGTTGGTGAATGATAATATACGCAGCCAATTTTCCATAATTTTTTTGAGTATTTTTGTTTTACAAAACAAAGCACCTGGATACCAGCACTAACAAAAACACTTTTAATGTTTTAAAAGCTTCAAGTGTTAATAAATTGGTGCATGTAGGTTATTGGTAAAATTATAAAAAAAATCCGTAGGGTATAAAATTGATATTACAAATTTCTGCAATTTAACAACTCACAGGTACCCCTCATTTGCTTACCTTTTATCAACTTTAATGCAGTCTACCTTTATAATCTACCACTTTATTCACTGGGGAATATTTGTCATATTAATTATCCTTATGATAATTAATAGAAACTTTGTTTCTAATGGCTGTTAAATTTGTGTTTACCCTAACTTTTCTGTCTCTGTCACTAAAGGGGGAAGAGGTCGCATGTCAAATCGGAGAGGCCGTGGTGGAATGAGGGGAGGAAGAAGAGGCAGGGGACTAAGCAGAGGAAGAGGACGAGGGGGAAAGATGGGAGACAACGATGACGGAGATGGTTATGGAGATGACTTTGAGGTGAGGTTAACAGGTCCAAGTGTCCACAAGTGTATTTTTGCTTGAAATTACCATTGAGATAAACAAGTGCTCGCTACATGTAGGAAAGCGAGTTAATAATAACCACAAGTCAGGCTGGGGAAAGGGTTCCCCGCCTTTGCAGACAAATCTACAAAATAAAAAATGGAGTTCAGGCTTATAAGGTTTGTAGTAGATGGGCGAGTAAAATGGCTTTAGTGCTTGACACCTGATAAATCTGTCTTCACAGTATGGAGATGATGACTATGACAACATGGTAGATGAAGACTACGATGACTACACCAAAGAGCTTAGTCACTACAAGAAGTCCAAAGACAGAGGCAGAGGTGAGTTTGAACCACATGTGCTTCTCTCTTTGATTGGGGATAGAGCACTTTCATAGAAGTCTAGTCTGTGATAGCGAAGAGAGTGTCTGTGCCTAAGAGTGTTGACCTTTCTTTTTGTGCCACAAACTCATGATATGTCACACTGTATTTTTGCCCTTGCCGATGGTCATCAAGGAGGGAGAGGGCGAAGCAGAGTAAAAGGGGGCCGTGGTATGATGAGAGGAGGAAAGAATCGAGGCAGAGGGAGAGGAAGAGGTGACATGGGTGACGATGACAACGACATGGACAATGGGGTAGGATTTTGTCATTGTTGTTTGTCATTGTTGTTGCAAAAATACAAATGAAAACTTAATACACAATTTTAATGCAAGTTGTTAAATGCAAATGCATCCATGTTTTAGGATGGGACTGGAATAGATGGTCCAGGAACAGGGAGGAGAAATCAGAATGACAAGTATCAGGATAAAAAAGGAAAGGCCATCTGCAAGTACTACATTGAAGGAAGATGTACCTGGGTAAGGCTACAATATATCTCGAGACAAATTCTTACTGTGATGTATTTTACTCTAATTCTTGTGTTCATAGCCCTTTGTATTTGCTTTTTTTGCCATCTTGAGGTTAATTTAAACTGACTCTGAATATTAATTAATGTTAAAGACAACTGACTAAATGCATAATTAACTAAACCTATAACTCAATACATAAGTGTAGAACGAACTGTATGCCTAGACAACTGTTAAAACTTTTTAAAAATATTATTGCATTTTTACCAACAGGGCGATCACTGCAACTTTAGCCACGATGTAGAGCTACCTAAGAAGAAGGAACTCTGCAAGTTCTACATCACTGGATACTGTGCAAGAGCAGACCACTGTCCTTACATGCATGATATCCTTCACTACACAGAGATCAAATTCTCTGCATGCTTAAGAATGATGGCAAAGAATTTCAAAGAGTAGTTTTTAATGTGTGCAGTTACACAAAGAGGATGTTTCTGTCAGCCTGAAGTCAGTAAATTTCTTCAACTGAATTTTAAACTTGTTTGCTGTCATTTTTAAGCTGTTATCCTTGACTCCCACTTAACGTGAATTCCCCTGTAAGCTGTTCCATACAACAGGTAACTGTGTCAATGGTGATGAGTGCATGTTTTCACATGAGTCACTCAATGAGGACACCCAGGAACTGCTGAACAAGGTAAGTTTATAGATCGAACCTGATTTTCTATAATATTTTATTTTTATTTAACCTCTATGATTCTCTAGGTTATTGCACATTTTTTAAAATGTTTGATGGTTTTTGGTACAAAAAAAGTTTGATAAAATACTGTAGATAACCCAAAACTGTTACAACTTGTAGATGCTAGCAGAGGATGCAGAGGCTGGAGCCGAGGATGAGAAGGAGGTGGAAGAGCTGAAGAAGCAAGGAATAAATCCTCTCCCCAAACCACCTCCTGGAGTTGGCCTTCTTCCCACCCCTCCACGGCCTAGTCCTGTTGATACCAACACAGGGAGTGGAGATTTTGGTGGGTCGCCAATGGATGAATTTGAGTGTTCCTCCGACCAGGTGCCCAATGCCAACAAGGGACCCCCAGGACCAGGTCCTGGTTCTGTTCAGACTCCATGTGCTGGTGCTCCTGTAGTTAGCCCTGATGGGAATCCCTATCAAGTGTGTCCCCCCAATCCCAGCATCCCACCTCCTCACTTGGGCCCCCCACCACCTTGTCCTGCAGGCAGTGGGAGTTCAGGGAAGAAAATCCCTTCATTATTCGAGATTAAAGTTCAACCCACAGGACAACTGGCTCAGAAACTCGCTGTCAGGTAAGAGTTATAAAATAATATGCAAGATATCAGTTAAATTACATGCTGATTTCATGAGAAATTCAAAATTACAACTTAATACTAAATAAAAATGGTTTAAGTAGATGTATACAGATAATGTACTACATTACTACATAATGTTCTACAGTAAATATGTCTCTTATTAATTTGGACACAAGGTATTTTTAAAACACTCAAAATGTTTACTATATCTGGGTTACTCAAGTGCCTATTGAGTTCATAATTTCAAATTTTCAGACTAGGGTTAGAAAACATTTATGGCCCTGATGCTTTTGCCTTTAACTTTAAAATACAAAATACTATTGTGCTTTTTTACTAACAGAAAAGCACATAACTAATAGTACACAGTAGGCAATTTAGCATTGTAGTACTGTGATTTAAGGTTAGCACACACTGACATATGCTTGTTGATGGAAAATGTATCTAAAACCAAACAGTAAAGATTTGTTTCAGTTCTAACTCTGTCAGTAATATTTCTTCTTTCACCTCCTGTATCAGAAGCCAAACTCCTAGTCAGGGCCAGAGTTCAGCACCTGGACCAGAAGGGCCGACTGAAACAACACCACCCCACTTTCCTAACCCTCCAGGCATGGTTTCTCCAGAAATGCAGAACATGGGCCCTAACCTTGGCATGAACCAGGGACCTCCAAATATGGGCCATGGTGGAAGACCCATGATGGAGTGGGATGCATCTGGTGATGGTCCTCCACATGGAGGTCCTGCACCACTAGGTCCTAATCAGGGTGGAGGAAACCAATACAATAATTACTTTAATCAACATGGTGGAATGAACATGGAAGGAGTTGGCCAAGATGGTGAGTGACCTTTAAGTAACTTTATTTTAAGCAATTATAAACAAATATTTAGATTAGATTATAGTATTAGACTTGTGACCTGTCACCGTTTTCTACTAATGATTGAAGCCACTTTCTATTGTTCAGGTAACAACTATGGATTTAATGGGGATGAAAAAGGTGGAGCTGGAAGATTTAGTAATCAATCGGGTGGTCAAGAAACCCCAACCAATGGTGGCTCATCTAACCAGGGGGCAATTTCTGTACCTGATTTCTTGCCTCCTGCACAACGAGTGTTGTTTATGAGGATCCAACAGAAGCAACAGGAGGAGGAAGAACGAGCACGCAGGATGGCTGGGGGAGGAGCAGAGAAGAGCAAAGATGCAGAAGGTAAAAGAAAACCAGCAGTTAACGCTTTGTGTTTAAACAAATAAAATAAAAAGAAATGAAAGATGAGTAAAGTCTGGGCCACATTAATTTTTAACACTATCTACGAAGCATATGAATGAATGATCATAATTAAAATTTGTATGTATTCTATGTCCTCTCAGTTCTTGCATATAGGTTTATAGGTAATGATTTAGTGCTTGACATCTGGTGAATTAGCTCTCAGATGTAATCTTGCAGTTGAACACAATCCAAACATCTCGTGTTCTCTTTCAGGTGATTCAGGGAATTGGTATTCCAGTGAGGATGAAGATGGTGGTGGTAGTGTGACCTCAATATTGAAGACACTCCGTCAGCAGACTCAGGTTCCTCTAAAACCTGATGGGCCCCCAAGTGACCCAAGGCTGCAGAAGGCAACTGTTTCAAACACTTTGGCCCGTCCAGCCGATCCCCGTTTGGCCCGGGACCCACGCTTGTCAAGATCTGCAGAGTCCGTTCAGCCCTCTGAATCAACCCTTTCCATGCCCACCCCATCATCTGGACCACCTGCAGATCCCAGATTAGCCAGACTAAATGCTACGGCTTCAGCTGGGACCACAACCCATTTATCTTCTGCCACTAAACCAGAAACTCCTCTGGTCTACAAACCTCCACCACTTACTACCCCTGCAGCAGAAGAGGAGGAGACGGAGCGGGTTCTGAGAGAGAAGCCCGTACCTATCCCACTGGATCCCCTCATGGGCATGGCTCTGAGGGACCCACGATCTCAGTTGCAGCAGTTCAGTCACATAAAGAAGGACATTGTTCTTCACATGCCAGCTTTTGCGAGAACTGTCACTTGGTCACCTGAAGACCTTCTCCCGCTCCCCATTCCAAAGCAAGACCTCCTCCCTCTTCCTCCTGGCATCCCTCCTGTCTCTTCAATAGACCGAGGTCTGTCTCGTGCTCAGCCACAACTCCACACATCAATCCCACTCTCACAGCCTCCTCGTGTACAGTCTCCCCCTTCCTTGGAGCAACCAGCTCCCTCCTCCTCCAACTCTTCAATCCCAGACTTTGAGCTTCTCTCTCGCATACTTAAAACTGTCAACTCTAGTCCGTCCCAGAGTACCTCCCCTCCTCTCTTACCACCATCTGCTCCTTCTGTGTCATTGCCTCCGACATCTGTGGAAAAACCCACTGACCCTCGTATGGCTCGTAAAGTTCAGACTGACCCTCGTCTCCAGTTACAGAAGTCCGTGCTAAAGCAACCATCTGAACCATCACCACCATCCACCTCCTCATCATCTCCAGCAACAACATCCAGCTCACCTCCTCACACTACTGCCCCCTATGATCCACGATTGCTTTCCTTGGGAGGAGCAGGGCGTGGTGTGGGATCTGGATCACCAGGGGGAGCCAGTGTGTTAAGCAGCATCAGCCTGTATGACCCAAGGACTAACAAACCAGGCAGCCCTAGTTCTGGTGGTTCTAACAGTTCACCCAACTCAACCAGCACAGAATCCAAAACCAGTGAACCTACAACCAGTAAACCCAAGTCCAAGGAACCTTTATTTGTTAGAAAGTCTGCATTGGACCAACCAGAGCCAGAAAAGACCGTGGAACAAGGTACTGATCGATACAACAGCTACAACAGGCCTCGACCCAAACCCGCCCCCTCGCCTAACTCCTTGGCCCAGGGTGGTCCAACTGCAGCAGGTGTAGCTGCAGGAGGAAGTCAGGGTGCTCCTGGAAGTACTGCCGACCAAGGGCCCGCAGGAATTCACAATTTACCAGTGTCAACTCTGTTTGGAGTAGTGAAGCAGGCATCCAAGCCTGGTGGGACCAGCAGCCCTTTTGGAGGAAACAGTCCAGCACAGACTGACCAGGTGTCCTCAGAGCTGGACAATGGGTCTTTAAAGGACGTTTTTAAAGGTTTTGACCCCACAGCCTCACCCTTCTGTCAGTGACCCCTGACCTAGCAACCACAAGAGCCCATCCTGTTGGTGAATGTTGACTTATTTTAACGTTTTTGGATACCAAACAGACATTCTAGAGTATAGAGAATGGTGCACAGAGGCATTTGTTTGCAAGACTGGTGAACATACTTTCTGATCAGACTGATGGTGTACACTGTAACATGTTTGATGCACACAACATGGACATGTCTAACTAAAATGTCTCAGATTCTATAAAAGACTGGGGAAATGGGGAGGTTTTAAAAATTAATATCTAAATTTCTATTTTATACATAATTATTAATGTATAAACAAAATATAATCTCTTCATCTCAATGTTGAATGAAATATATAATGAGAGCAGAAACATTATTTCTTTATAATCTTTACCTTTCATTTTGTCCTCATTGTCTACAAATCTCCTAATCTGTGAACTGTGTCTACAGTGATGGGCATATTTGAAGGTTGATTGAGTGTTTCGCCTTGTGTTTCCTGGATCGTCTTAGATATTAACAACACAATGTTATCCATATTTTTTGTAATTAAAATCCGCACTGAAGATAATTCTGATGCTCAGATACTTCTTGTCACCTAGCTGCCTTTCACTATCATCCTATTAGATTTATAATCTGTTGTTTTGTTAAAAATAATTATTATCTGTCATATTAGCTTTCCTGGAGTTATGAGGAGTTAAACTAAACTTTAGTCTATAGCATGCTTAATTTGTTTTATCGATATTAAATGTTTTTTCTTTTTTTATGGAAAGCTTAAGCTAAGATCATAATGTGTTCTCCTTCAGCTGTCCACTTATCATTTTTCCATGTTAATAATCTAACTGTGAAATTGGAAAGACTTAAGTTCTAATGACCATTTAATTTGTTGCTCAGATTCAAGATACTCCAGTGGCACATTAATATCTGGCCTACAGTTTGTCATTTTTATTTTAAAAACTGATCAGGAAAGGTTAACCCTTTAAATAAAAAACCTTGGTCAGTGAATATTTCAGTTCAGTGTGTTTGGAAATATATATATATTTTGATTTTGAATACAGAAACAGCCTACATTCAATAGAATGGTTAAAAAGTAGCCGTAACATGATCATTTTGGCTGCAGTGGATGGTGACAGTGTGACAATCATCAAGGTGACTTCAATGTGCTTTGACTGTGATCACAGCCGGAGAATCTATAACTCAGTTGACACCTCAACACATGGATTACTTTAAAAATGCTCATTGTTGTTTAAAATATAATCTCCCGAATTTCAATAAGAACTTAATGCCTTACACAATAAACAGTTGAAGTGTGCGATTTTTAGCAGTGTGTGAATAAGATACTGCTTCTTGTTTTTGTCTGATGCACCAGGCTTTTCCGTAAAAAGAAAATTTGTTGGTTTGAACGACAGGTCAAACATTGACAACTGTCCGGTGTATAAATGTTAATTGTTTTAATTTATTTTTTATACTTGGGAAAATATTTACTTCCTTTTTTTGAACTAAATCATTTTATATGCCACAGATGTTGAAAGTACTGTTAACCTCAGTGGGATGCAGGGAGCCTGCAACTGTATGAAGAGAGGAGAGTATTTTTTTAAAGATTTGGTTTTGTGGATACAGACTCTAACAACAAACAAAAAGAATAGCTGTTGGCTCCCTTACTGCCAGGCCTTCAGAAAACCTCCTAACATCTGTTAGATTAAGAAGGTTTAAAAACGATTGTTGATTTGTCCCATTTTATGGCTGTGTTTTGTAAATTTGTTTTTTTGTTTTTTTCTTGCCTTGTAAGTTTGACCCATACCTTATCTCTGGAGGAGTGGAGTTTTCTAACTGTACACTGTAGGTGAGGTTGTATTTAAATAAAGTTGATATATGATCAACCATATATATAACTCTTGTTTTTGTGCTCCTTTATTATAAAATATCCATGGCTTAACTTTTCTGTTGATTTGCAAATTCATACTGGCTGCTTGATACACACACCCACAGTCATTCAGTTCTTGTCCTCAAATCCATCTGAGTGGATCTGTGTAGTATTTCTTCTTTAAAACACTTTTAAATACTCATTGGAGGCTCATTTTAAATAATTTAGAAATGTGTCATGGAGTTGTTTTTAATTATTCCACCTTGTTCGGCTAAATGATCTCTGACCCTGAATCCATCATTTTGACCTGCAGGCCAGTCCCTGCTCTGTCCTCAATCCCTTCTATCTTTAGTTTTCCTGTGATTGATGCTTTGCGGCTCCTGGCTCAGTTTGTGTGCATCTGGATCTGAATCGCCACAACACTCCTGTTTCCTTGTTAGTTTTGATCCTGCAGTGACTCACTTCCTGTTCTCCTCCCATCCTGCAACACTGGCTCCAGGAAGACAAACTATTCATCCAGTACCTCAAAGGTTTCCTATGTCTTTCTCTGTAATACGGACACAAGGGCACACGTGAATATGTCATTATAATGGCCAAATTGTCCAAAGACCCCACAGGTTTATGATAGAGAACCTTTATGATAGAGATTACAGTCAGTGAATATTCTGATGTACATTTGTGAGAACATACAAGCTGAGGTCAGCAGAGGAGCAGACTAAACCTCCTCTGAATCATTTTCTGTCTCACACATAATGTTGACCAAGTGAACCAGGTGGATTCCTGTACTGTGCAACTCAGGAATCATGCATATATGAAGCATTTACTTCATTAAAGCGACACTGTATTGGATTGGTGAGATATGATCATCAGAGCTGCATTTACTTCATTAAAGGGACACTGTATTGGATTGGTGAGATATGAAAATGACAAACTTTCTTATCTTTTCATGCTAAGATTGTTGTTGCTGCTGATATGTTAAACTACATTTCATCTGCCATCTAAAAGGCTATCAGACATAAAACACAAGAATTAACAATAATTAAAAATAAACATGAACAAGAATGAACAAATTTCATTCATCAATTTCATTTTTATTTAGTTTTTGCACCCTTTCCGCACTCGTGTTCTCCACGATTCACCAGGTGTTTGTTCACTGTATCTTTGATCAGTAATCAGCTTAGAGGGGACTCACTGTGGTGAGTGTATATTTAGAAGATCCTATCCTTCTGAGAGAGGACTTTGGAAAGGGATTAAGATACAAAGTAGACGACACATTAGCTGCAGTGCCGTTTCATTACTTAAGGGGGCAGTGTGTTTGTCAATGCCATGTTCATGTTCAGTGCTGGGCAGACATCAATTCACAAGGTTCAGTCTCTCCGCCTGTGTGTGACTTCCAAGATTGTGAGTCACAATTTTATAAACAATAAACTCTGTGATTCACTAAACAGATCACATGACACCAGGGTCAACAAGACAATAAAGAGTTAGACCATCTGTTTTTAAAATTCTAGACACTATAAATGTTAGAAAAAACAGCGAACATGTTTGCACGTATACTTAATATGAAGTTTTTAGGAACTCCTCTAAAAGTAGACCAACAGTCAGTAATGTCCAAGCACATCTGGTTCTCTTTCTGGTTTCTTTAATGCTGATGCTCTGTTTATACAGTGAACCCAGTGAATTTCTTGTGACAGCCAACACCTGGTATTTTTTACTTATCTATTACTTAGAATTGAGACTAGAAGTAGGAAGTCACAGGCTGTGGCAGAATTAAACAATACATATAATATGATGATATATAATATTATTCTAGGCATGACATTTCAATACATTACACTTTATTCTTCCCATAAGAAAACCCATCTGGCTTCATATTAAATGACATTTACATTGATAACGTTGTCGAGCTGCCGTCACAGCAGACACTTCATCACCGGATCAGCCCCGACTCTTCTCCTGAAGACAGGTCCTCTGCATTTAATCACCGAGACAAGACTGGTTTAATATGCAGACAACGCTCTTATCTCAGTGGTGCCATACTGTATATCTGCTGCCAGATGAAACAACCTTCTCAGAGTGAAGGACAATCGTCATGCAGTCTGACACAGTGGCCTTCAGCTGCGGAGTTTCTGATGAATGGGTGAGCAGTCTGAGGTTGGGATGAACAAACTGACATCACTCTGGTGGTATGTGTGTGCTCAACATGTGACAGGGTCCTTTGTGGCAGCCACATGCTGACTGTGAGTGTGTGCAACTGAGTTTTTGTGATTTCACGTGTATGACTGTATGTGTGGGTGTTTTTCATTTACAGTAAATCTGAAACTCAAATTATTCATATCCCATCAAGCAATCACTTTTGTATGTTTTGGCACCAAAATACACGCAATCATGTAAAAAAAAAATCACCCT